CAGCAGTGAGAGGCCCAGAACTGGACACAGGATTTGAGGTGTGGCCTCACCAGTGCCCAGCACAGGGGGACAATCCCTGCCCTGGTCCTGCTGCCACACTATTGCTGATCCAAGCCAGGTGCCATTGGCCTCTTGCCCCCCTGGGCACACCTGGGCTCATGTCCAGCTGCTGCCACCAGCACCCCCAGCCTGTCCAGAGCCTTTGGCAGGATTTCTCCCAGTCTGTACTTATGTCTGGTGTTGAGCCTGGCCCAGGTGTAGTACCTTGTACTTGGACTTCCAACCAATTCCTTATCCACCCTTCAAATCCATGTCTTTCCAGTTTGGAGATAAGGATGTCATGTAGGACCGTGTCAAAGGCCTTGCAGAAGTCTGGTTAGGTGACATCAGTTAGTCTTCCCTTGTTGACCAGTGCAGTTGCTCCATCATAGAAGGCCACCAGACTGGTGAGGCACAACCTGCCCTTAGTGAAGCTGTGCTGGCTGTCTCAGATCCCCTCCTTGTCTTCCAGGTGCCTTAGCATTGCTTCCATGAGGATCTGTTCCATGACCTTCCCAGGGACAGAGGTGAGGCTCACTGGTCTGTAGTTCCCCAAGTCTTCCTTTCTGCCCTCTTTGAAAATAGGAATGATGCTTCCCAATTCCAGTCTCTGGAGCATCTGGGTCACCTGAGCACTGTGACTTTTCAAGTATGATGGATTGTTCAAACTTTTCTGAACTGCTGGATGATGGGAATATATAGAAAAATCTAATATTTATGCTGTAGAGTGAGGCACTGAAAAACAATGAGGGATTTGTCTGAATTCTTAGATCTTCAGTTCTTTGGAATTTCTTGGGAAGCTAGGAGAACCTTTAGATCTCCTTATTATAAAACCCTACTATAAGATTTTCTAAGTATTCTGAATTTGCCTAAGGAAAAAAAAGAAAGTAAAAAGTTAAGGCAACTTCTTTATTTAACACTACAGAAGTAATCAGTAATGTTTTATTAATGGTAAAACAAGTAAAGAAATATGATATTAGAAAATAACATTTTTTATCGACTTCTTACTCTAGAAAAAAATAATGATAACAAAGAGTAAAAATTAACATAATTCTGGTATGCCTTGCTCATTGCCTCCACAGGATGTTATACAACTTTGCTTTCACTGTTATCCATAGCTGTGTGTTTTTCAGAGTTTTAATACTGGTCTTAATTTTAGGAACTTGTCACTGGAAATGGAAAAGAATTCTTTCAAGTTTTATTTTTTTCTTGCTGTATTAGACTAGTCTTCTGTAAAAGTATTGCTAGTGGTTTCTGTTTTCTTGCATTTTGTTAATAGACTTGTAGAATTAATTGTATTTTTATTTGGATTTTATAGTCCAAATATCTATTTGGAAAATATGGTGTTTCAAGTATCATATTAAGGATACCTTTTTATCATATCAAGGATACTTTAATTGATTGTAAGTATTTTATTAATGTAAAATTTTCTATATATTAGGATACAACACCTTATCAGTTCTTTAGTGTGCATTGAAGACTTTAATGGGATACATGATGGGATTTTCTTACGTTCTAATACAGGACAGTATTTTGGGACATTTTGACAAATTAAACTGGCATGAGAATATAATTACAAGAACAGCATATTTGTGTAATATGTAACTTTCTGTACTTTTTTTGTTAGTCTTGCCAGAGTTCTGTAGTGAAAGAAACCTTTTTCTCAGGATTTTTATTTGGTAAATTGAATTAAAATAGAAAAAAATTATAATCACCTTTCACAACTATGGTTTTCATATGTGCTGGATTCCAGAACAGTGGGGACTACATAGTTTCATATTTTAAATTTGGCATTTTAGACTATTTCTGTTATAAAAATAGCAAAAGTGTAGTTTTGCAGAAACTATTCCATTTTGGCTGAAAAGGAGCAAACAGCCAAAGGTAAGAAAAAGAACTTTCTTTTTCAGTTGAAAGGCTTCTACTGAAGAGACTTCTTTTAGAAATGGAGTTTTATACAATTCAGTGGTGATATTCTTCATCTTGTACACGAATAGCATATTGTAAAATTCTGATCTTAAGTGTACAGATGAATTATGTAACTTCCTAAATATCTTCTACTTCCAAAACCTTAGAATTCCACCTGTTCTCCAGCCAACCTTCCTCTCTCCCACAAATCAAAGTTGTAAATATGTGTCATAAAATTTCTGTATTACTCTGCAGTCAAGCAAACCTATAAACAAACCTATGGGTAACAGTGTTATGTCTAATCAGTGAAGAGTAATAAGGAATCCATGTATATTTACCTCTCATTTTCTGCAAATTTTGATTTAAAAAAAATTAAATGTGTGTGAATAAATACACTAGAAGTCCTGTTGTGATCCTTTTTTTAACCATTGGGGGTTTTCCATCATTTCCTCCTTAATTCTGCAGGTGCACCTCTTGTGCTTCTGCTACTTCCAATTTTGAATATCTAGGACAAAAGCATAGGAATTGCCAAGACCACTGCCTGATTTCTGATACATTTCTGACTTCTCCATCTCCCTGTCTCAAGAATCTCCCTGACAAATCATTTAATACTATGTGGTACTATTTTTACTGAATGTTTATGGTTTCTGAGAACGTTAGATTTTCAGGATTTATAGGAATCTCAGTTTGTCACTTTGTTCTCCTGAATCTTGGAAGCAGAACCCTTTGGCTCAATAATGTTGTTACTTATTTCATGAGTGGCTTTGGGAACCTGGGACTCAAGTTTTGGGGCAGTGACTTTAGAGGAGGAATTTGTTTCCTGAGCTGATAACCAGATAAGTTGTGCTGCAGGTGATAGAGATGTTTTAAGAAGTGGCCCCTGGTTTTCTCTACTGTAATGCTTTTGATGTAGAGTAATGCTAATTTAGAGGCAGGGCTGGGTGGGTATCCTCTGTTGTTTTTTTTACTGCTGTGTACAGAATGTCCCTGGCAATTCCCAAAGCTTGGACACAAACTTTCTGGTTACAGTTTTGAAACAAACTTTGGTGTTGTGGGAATGTTTCAAAGCTGCACCAGGGGATGTTCAGGCTGAACATTATGAAGCATTTCTTTGTGAGAGGGTGGTCAGACACTGGAACAGGCTCCCAGAGAGGTGGTCAATGCCCCAGGCCTGTCAGTGTGTCAGAGGCATTTAGAAAATCCCTGGTCAGCCCCAAAGGGCTCAAACAGTTGGACCAGATGATCTTGTAGGTCTCTTCCAGCTGAAATAGTCTGGTCTAGTAACAGCAGCTAGTACATCCCTGCCATCCCTGCTTCTCTTGGAAAGTAATACCTGTACTGCTTTATTTTTTTCTGCTCTCAGGGAACGTTATGCATCTATTAATACACCTTTAAAATTATTATTTCTCTCTTTTTTCCTCATTTATTTTGCCCTTCGCTATTTAAAATACTGAATTTGTAATTTTTTTTTTAAAGATTCTGCATATATTTAGGATGACTATTATTGAAGAAGGAGAGTGGAGGTGATAATAATTTTAGTAGGAAGAAAAGAGATGACCCTTATTACATTTGTGAAAGACTTGTTTACATTTACAGTTAAATGTTTTTCTTTTAAAAAGGAAATTGTCAAGGAAGCATTAATGGAGGAGCAGAAACGAAGTGAAAAGGCAATTGAAGAAGCAGTGAAAAGGACAAGAGAGGAACTGATGGAATATATTAAAGAACAGAAAAGGGTGAGTTACCAGTGGCTAATGGGTTTCACTTCATCAGTGAGAAATTGGTAAAGTCTTAAAATGCACAAGAAAACAGAATCAGGAGTTAGATTTTCAGATCTTTCACTCATTTTTTCCAAACAATTTGTTATTATGATATATTTCTTTTCATATATATATTTATAGACCTTTAAATTCATTCAAGCCAAAAAGCAGAAATTATCATTTTGGTTAAAATTTACAACATTTCTTTTTAGAGTAACATAAAGATGGGGGCATAAATACAGTCTGTCAGATTCAAATTGTGATCTGAGTTCAGTTCATTGAAAACATTTCAGTATAACTAACAGATGCTATTTTATGTTAACAGATGACTTTATTGTGCAGTTTGCATGCACAAAGAAGTCATTAACTTTTACTCTCAACCCACATTATAAGGGTATATACAACCTGAAAATGTACTGGTGTTCTGTTGAGAGTGATTTATAGCCAGTGCATTGGACTTGTTATGAAATCTTGTAATGTTCTGAAAGTTGTTTTCAGTTGTTCTGTTAATGCTATATAGTGGTAGTTTAATGCTTGTGTATAAACAGTAAAATGTAACTCAGAGAACTTTGTTTTGTGTTCAGTTGGAGGAGAAAAATATAATACATTTCTCCCCTTTGAAGCTCTTTATAAAAACACAAACAAAAAGTAATTTTTAAAACCCTTTTTCATACAGCAGTAGCAGCCCAAGGTACAGTTTCAGTATTCTCAATAAATAAAGTCACTCTACTTGAATTTAATTGGTAATGTTGTCCTGAGAAGGAAGTAGAAATAATGCATTTGGCCACTGCCTCTGTATTCCCGGATTTTATGGGTTGAGTAGTATTATGGTAAATAGGATTTACCTTTAGAAGTTTCACTCTGCTACTAGTTAACCTTACTGTTGGGTGAGTGCCTTTGGTAATTCTGTGTGGAGACATTTCCTTTTAGCAGGATTTGTTTTATTTGCAAAGACACTTAAACAGAATCCAGTGCAAAACATGATCCATAAGGATGTTTGAGCATAGCTGAAGTCAGCTATTGACAAAGGATAAGCTGTGAGGAAGGTGAAAGTAGGTCTACTATTAAAATAACTTGTGTCATAAATAAATTGGTCAATAGGACCTCTAGAGCAGACCATCCAGGCCATCTACTGCAGATGCTCACAGATGCTGACAGATCACACCATGTTGAATTGACAGTCATTTCCTGCAGATACTTCAATAGCAGTTCATCTGTCCTTAATCTCTTGGATTTCCACTTTTGCTAGGAATGGAATTTTGCCAGAATGCACAGAGTTGGAGCTCATTGCCATTATGTCATTGCCTGGCTGCTGTTTACCTGTCTTGCCCTCGTGAAGTTTTCACAAAGCGTTGAAACAATGAAAATATCATCTTCAAAAAAACGAAATCCTCTTTGGTTTATCCTGAAGGAACATAAGTTCCATTAATTTCCTAGAGAGTTCTTGTATACCGAAGTGTTTCAGTCAGGTTTTTTTCTCATATTGATCAATTGACACATATCCATTAATTTTTTTAAAAAAAAAATCATCTAGATTTTTCTGGCATAGGATTTAGAAAGACTGCCTGTATTTGGGAGTGAAAGATGTATTTAACTTCAAATCATTTGGCATAATAGCTTTTATATGATTACATAACAGGCAGAGGAAATGGACCTTGGTGAAAGCCCATGTACCTGTAAGAGTAACAAATATAGTTTATGGACTATGCTAAAATGTAGCAGCTTATGGAAGGAAGTCCTAGAAAGAACTCAGGGTAAATGCCTTGTTTTCTTCTCCGGGATTCTGTGACCTTTGTTGTCCTTTGAGTGATGGGGGCATCCCAGTTATAAACTTACAAAGGTAACATGCCCTCTGTACTTTTCATCGTTGTTTTGAAAACCAGTTTGTAGACTCTTTCAAACCACAGGACATGGGCACACCAGTGTTTGTACCTGGTTAGCAGTGGTTAAGTGCTTCAGAAAAGGGGCCATAAACTGATTCTTATCCACCTTGTTTTCTAATAGTACAAATTACATTTCATCAATATATCAGTTTTCAAAGTAGCTTGTAATTGCTTATCAATTTATTTATTAAAGCTTTTTTTTAGTAAGTGTTATATAATTTATAAAAAAATTAACAGACAAATACTATTATAAAATAGTTGTGATATCAGTTTAAGAAATACAATTGTGGTTTTGGCAGTTAGAGTTTTGCTACAAATATTTTAAAATATTAATGAGTATTTACAGCTGTATTTGTGCTTGGACTCTTGGAAGAATTTCCATAACAGTTTATAGAAGTTGGATCTGGCAATGCCACAAAATCTGCAGTGCATTATAAATGTAGTCCAACATGATATTGTAAATAATAGTAAATAAATAATATTAATATTTGCTTTGAGTTGGAAAGGATTGTGAACGAGTCTTTTTAAAAACAGATTGATTTGATAACTATTTGTAGAAATCATTTGTGTCAACATAACGTACATATTGAAAGTAAACCATAGAAAATTCCTGTTGCATTTCCAAAAGTGTTGAGACCTACCAACCATGAAACCAGCATATCAGTGATGTATATAGAGCTTAACAGCCACTTAGTGAAGAAAATGGACAAATGCAGGGGATTATTTGAATTAGTAGAAAGTTACTTAACAAAAAACAGGAATATCATCGTGCTAAAATGATGGTAAGGACAAACCTACCTTCCTCTGTATTGAAATGAAAAAAGTCACTTAAGCTGGCAGAGAATTAGCTGGCACTTGTTTTCACCTTCAGATAAAGAACACTGCAAGTTAAAAAAACCCAGTAAACTGGGATAGAAACAGGTGTTTTTAAACAATAAATGAAAGATGAGCCATGCATTGTCATTATGCCATTTCATACTTCAAATATAATCCCAAGTTTTTATGGATATACAGCACTGTATTGGCAACAATTTAAGTTAGGTACCACAGTCTTTAGTTTGTTTTCTCCATTCTGTATTATGTGAAGAATTTGATACTAGAAAAATGGTATTTTTATGTTGCCACAGGTAACATCTTAAGAATCTGGGTATCTAAGACGTGAAGGAAATTACAGTCAGGAATTTCATTCTTTATTATTTCATGATTATTTTGTAACAGTCACCTTTATGAAGCATAGAAACTGAACTAGAGTAAGACTGTTCTATCTGTTCAAAGACATCTTCTATACCTATCAGACTTGTAGAGGTTTATATAAATATTCATAACATGCTGAAGAATTGTTCTAAGTCAAATTTGAATACACTTGGTACAACTATTAGCCACACTTGCTTTCTCCAGCGAAGATACATCCACATTATGTCCAGAAATTTATCTTTATTAATTGCCTGAAGGTATATTTCACCAGGTAGAGTTGCTATGCCTGTGTTTGCACATAAGTGTCAGGAAGGCAAAACAATGCTTTACCTTGCTGCTGGTGGGGTGGGAAGTGAGGGGACTGAGGTGAAGTGAAGCACACAGGTAAAAAGGAGGTGGGCACTGAAGGATGACTAAATGGCAAGCCACTGCTTCCACTTCTGTCAGAGAAATAAATGTTATTCTTGTTTTGTATCCAGTGCATATATGTGTGCCACCTGTATCTGAGACATGGATGGAGAGGGAAGCAAAATCTTACAGTCTGGTTTAGAGTGAGATGAGTAAAGAGTAAGAAAACTATTGTCCTTGAGAATCCGTTCATTTTGATGTAAGCTCAAGATTCCCTGAAGTCCTTTGTCACTATCATCTTTTGTTGCCTGATGTTCACAGTCCTGCCCCTCTGGCCCTGCATTATGGTCCCTGATATCTGACTGCTCTGGAAACATCCAGTGCTGTGACAAACCCCAGCACATGAAGTGGCCCAAGATGTACTAAGTCCCATAGTCCAGCCCTTGAGGCTCCCCATGCCTGTGGTAGTAAATGCTGGGGAGCATTTATCAGCTTTTTGCATTAATTGTTTAAAAATTCTAGTGTTTGGTTTTATACTGAATGTTTGTGAAGGTGTTCCCTCTTATTAGGTGGAACAGCTCTGGGTTTTCTCAAGGGTTGATAGTTTTGTTTTGTTAAAACATCATGCTGACATGGTGGCATACATGCACATGTCTGTATGTAGGCTCTTACATGTATGTGTGTGTATAGACTCACACCTGTATTTATTACCTGGGGATCAGGGCAAGAAGTAGAGCCTACTGTGCTGTAAACTATAGCCTGGGATGAGAGCTCCAAAACCTCGATCCCTGGACTGTGAGACACAGACACAGCAGTTCCCTGTACAACTGTAGTGCTCTTGGAATATTTTTGCTTAAAACCTGATTGATGGTTACATGCTGCTCTTTTAGGAGGATAAAGAAAGGCTGGGCCTATCCCTGCTCCAGTTCGTGTGGACTTCACGTGGGGCCTTGGCCCCTTCGCCGAACACACTTTCCTTAATTTGCTGGTCCTGAATGAAGTGAATATAAACATAGCTTTGTCCTAAAGTGCAGTTTGTGAGCAGTTCTGAGGAACTTTCATGATTGTTGTTTGCTTCTGTGTGTGATGTGATTACAAGGTTGACTGAAATTTCAGAGGTATGTTAAAAGCATTCCAAATATGTGAGTGGAAGAACAAGAGAAGTTTCCTCTATTTTATATGACTGGCAGGGATGATTTTTTTATATTATTTACAGATAGAATGCAAAAAAATCCCCAATTTAATAAAAACATTTTTTCAATAATTCAGAAAGTCTGAAAATATTGAAAGCTGTGTAATACTGATTTAAACAAGTATATGTGTGTATATCACAGTCACCTAAAGAGTCCTACCTGAATTTTATATATCCAGGTGTGTTATTAAAATTCTAATGATCAAAGTAATTAATTGGTCACTACTGTACTTCAAACTAAGATCTGTTTCCAATTATTTGCTGTTAGAAAGATCAGGAAATTCTTCACTTCATCTTTTTTTTTCATACTTAAACAGTGTTCGGAGTTCTTGTACATAATCTGCAGATATTATTTACTTTTTTTTTTAAAAACTAAGCACTGTCAATTCTTAAAATCACACAAATTAGGAAGCTTTGTGGTATGGAGGTCTACAAAAGTATTCTGTTGTCCAGTTTCAGTGTTTTATTTTCTATGCTACAGGTTGGAAGTTGTTTATAAATCTCATAGTTTAGTAATTTACAACCTATTCATTGCAATTCAATGCTTAAAAAAATAGTCATTCAATATGTTACAGTTTGAATATTTATAGCAGACAAAAATGTAGTGGTCTAATGTTATTGTGCCTACTATTTATCTACTTTTTAATTTTTAATTTAATTAGCTGTGCAGAGAAGAAAATTAATTCTTGAAGGTGGCATACATAGAACAAAGTAAGTCATGAGAGAGAGTTTCCTACCAAATAAATGTTGTGCTGAATAGGTTATTTAAAGAAATTTTCTAAACTACAAAGATTCACTCCATGAGATAAATATTTAGATTAAACATTTCTTATAGTTGTAGTTTCTGAACCAACATAACCAGCCAGCAAGAAAATTTTAATTTTTCCTATTTACATTGGCATTCATCTTCCCTCAGGAAAACGTACTGCTTGTTTTCTGACAGCAACACTAAGTATATTAAGCAGTCACGTTTTGTCTGCTCATTGTAAACAGCTTTCATTGGCTTTAAAGGGCGTATTTTGACCTACCAGGGAAAGCTCACAAGTGAGGACTTGAGTAAACATTTGAATGACAGACTTGTTTTTGCAGCCCCTATTTCCCTGAAAGTCAGACACTTGTCATGAATGCACTCCCATCCTGATTTAAGGGACAGAAACTGGGAGCAAAGATGTCACCATTACAATGAAACTCACTGTACTACTGTGTGTTCCCATATGATTTGTGCAGCTGTGCCTCATAACCTTTAGAAGAAAACATAACTAAGCATTGCATTTCTCTGACTAATGTTTACCAAAATGTAAGTGCACACTTCAGAGTTGCAAAAGCTAAAGAGTCATGTTTTTGGGGTTCAGTATGTAATAGATCATTTCTTTTCTGATATTGTGGAAACTAAGGACTATTTCAACAACAGTATTTATATTTAAGGATCACTGGCAAGCTGGTATAAGCTGTGTCTGTCTTACAGTAAAATGAAGAAAAAGCCAAGTTTTTCTCTTCTGAGTCTGCATAGAGAAATTACTCCCTTAGTTTGGTAATAATACAGGTATTTTTGGAAACTACAGTTCCAGGCCCATTTCCTGCTTCTCTGACCAGGTGCTTTCTGTGCAGCTTTGTCCAGTCAACAGGATGTGTGGGAGGTTCCTCCCTCTGTGGAACCAGAATTATTTTTTTTCTTTTCTCAAAAAGACTTGGAATATTTGGAAAATACTAGTTTATCCTGATAAAACACCTTTGTGTAAGGTCAACTCCTCTTGGGTAAGACCAAGGCATACATTTTCCCAGTTTCAGTGGGATTATTCTGGAAAGAAATAGGTATTTACCATTTGGAGAGGAAATTGTGCTTTTCATTCTGTGCACAGATGTATTGTAGAAACAATGCTTTTTAAGGGAAGAAAAATAGCAATCAATTGATCAAAATGATCAAGACAGCAGAAAATCCCTACAAGTAAATCAGATTAACACTGCTAATTTCCCCCATGGCTATCCTTGTTTATCAGGGTTATTTTTAATAGTCTACTGGATTTATGGAGTGTATTTGTGTATTTTGTATGTTTATTTTGTCTGAAGCCAAACAACTAGACCTTTAATTTCCCTTTGGAGTAGGTTTCTAACTGATACACTGTCTTTCTGGTTTGGTTATGGTACAAAATCCCAGTTCATTTTTTTTTAAGTGCCACGTATTACATTTCATAATTAAATATAGTCATCCAGATTTGATTTATCATGAATGCAGTTTTAGAACTTTCTTTGTTTACCTTTGATTTTGTAGGTGAGCTACAAAGCCCATAACATCTATCTCAAAAGATTGTGGAAGGTGATCTATGTTTCAATTGCTACTAACCCTTGTTATCTGTGTAGGTTTTTTTCCTGATATGTGAAGTCTTTTCTTTGCAGGTTCCTCATTTTTCAATATTCTAGGAGAAGATTTTGTGATGAAAACTAGTGTCTTATATTCAGTTATTTAAGGTAAAGAGTGCATGAAGTTCAAGTTTAATTAGATTTATCCACCTTGTTAAGGAGAGGCAGGAAATTCCTTTGGGTTGTTCAGATTGTCTGAGAAACTGTCTGTAATTCACTCATGAACATATGAGAAGATATGTGGTAGTTAGTTACTCTGTTATTCATCCATCAAAATTATCACAGAAAATGGTCAATGAAGTTTGTCTTTTAAAAAATCAGATTAAAATTCTCCCTTTACATATCTTAGTGCTGCAGTTGAAAGAAAACTTTATTTTTTTACAATACTGGCATAAACACCTTAGTTAGCATATAGATCATACAGTCTTAATAAGGACCTTGTAATTTATAGCCCTTTTTGTATGAAGAACTAGATCAAATTAATAGGGAAGATCAGTACAGTAGAAGAGAAATAAGATGTCTGTCTGGAGGCTGAAACTGGCTATGACTGTAAAAAGGAACTGAAAACAATGTTATGACCAGAAAACACCTTCAAACATCAATTTAATAGAAAATAAAAAAGGTTTATTGGACCCTCTTGTGAGACAGATAAAATTCCATGGTTTTTTTCTTGCTATTGATGTGTAATTTTCTATTTACAAAGGTGACATTATCTTTCTAGAAAAATCTCACCCACACACAAGTCTTCATGCTCATTGTTGTAATTGTGGTGTGTTGCATATTAAGCAATTTTTTCATAGCATTTTGTCTTCCTGTCCAGCTAAGAGCTGACATAGAGTTCAACTATTGATTATCTATAGTTTTTCTTTCCTGGAATTATTAAATTGGTTGCTTTCTAGACTTTTGTTATATAGGTATCTCTGTTTAGCTGAGAATCCCCTGACCTTCTGTTGTTGACTGCACCTTTGCTTTCCTCTCTGTGCTTCTATACCTGCATGATAGTTTTTTGATACATCTACTGCTACTACCAGTAACCATTGAAACTCAACCAATTATTCCCTCGAAATCTGACTCCTAATGTAACTTTAAATCCAAGAGCTCAGATCCTTGAGGTGATAATTACATTTAGATCATAAACCAATTCTTCTACTTTATTTATATAAAGTATGCCTGAAGTTTTTAACTGGGCACATCCAGTATTTATTTTCTTATAAGTAAATTCACACAAATATTCACTATTTCTAATAAAGTATATATTTGTACAACTGACTGGCATGATGATGGAAATAAAAGAAGAAACCTCCTTACCTCTCTTTCAGAAATGTACTGCATGTGAATGTGAAATTAATGTACTTTGAAAGGCTTCTAAAACAGCTACTAATGTCTCAGATTGAACAGATTGAACAGAAAAGAACTGTTCCCGGTACTACACTAACTTCAGTAACTAGACTGTTAATTTTTTATTATATATTCAGGTTTTCAAAATACACAGTTGACTTTTTGGTTCCAGGAGGAGTGCTGGTGTGATCCATGTTGAGTACTGATGTGCTTGCATGGTTAAAAAGTGTTTGCTGCCAACTGCCTCCAGCTATTGCTCAGAACAGGAATAAGGATCCAGCACTCTGTGTTCCTTCTGATGACGTACTCCAGGGAAGGCACAACAAACACATAGCACCTGCTTTCAGACCAAAATCATAGAACCACGGAGTGGTTTGGGTTGGAAGGGACCTTGGAGATCCTGTAGTCCCAACCCCTCCCCATTGTGGGCAGAGACACCTTTCATTAGATGACTCAGGGCACCATCCAACCTGGCCTTGAGCTCTTCCAGGGATGGAGCATCCACAACTTCTCTGGACAACCTGCCCCAGTGGCTCACCACCCTTTGATTAAAGAAATCCATGAACTCTGCAAATAAAGGTGGAGGGTTTCTGCACAGTGGTGTAGGTTAGGCCATGAATTGATGCCTACTTTGTCACACTTTTGTTATTCATATTAAGGAGCGGCTTCTAATGATAAAGCTTGGAATTTGGTTTCTTGGGTAGGCAGACTAGACTATGTTATATCTCATATTCTTCAAGTTAACACTGTTAGTAGTGGAACAAGTTCTATTACAATTCCTGGAACACTCTTTCCTTTGTCTCCTTGCTGAATTGGTAGCTTCCATTTCTCCTGTGACAGGTAAACTATTGTTAATCTCTGGTTTGATTCACAATCTACTCTCAGAGTCAGATTAATTTGCAACCCTGGTTTCCATCAGGGATAAGTGTATTAGAGCAGTGATTATATGAGATACTCCATACATCCCCTGTAGATCCAGACTGCAATTTTTCCTGTATAGGGGATAGTACCTATGTAATGAGACATCACAGAACCTGGGATTATGATGGACAGGATTGAACATTCCCTTCTTGGGCAAGAGGTCCAATTCCTTACCTGGGACAGAGGCTGTATCTTCCATTTCATCTGGTACTCTCAATCCATGTACGAGGTGAGATTACGGAGGAATACTGCCAGAGACTCAGGAGAGAGAGAGAGAGGGAAAAAACTCTCACCTTGAATGCAGTGTATTTAGGAAAAGAAGGTGGGAATAAGAGAGATAACTTAAACAGAGGCTGATAGAAAATGTTCCAGTGACAGAGTTCTGATATTAGTGTATCTTACAATTGTGAATAGGAAGGATCCCACTGGCAAAGGTTTGTGTTACAGATTAGTAACTTTCATGTATTGATCCATTTGTGTTGTCACTTGCAAAATCATGGATCAACACCAGAGAATGTAGTTGTGAACTTTTGTAGGTAAAGCTCATGCCCTTCAGTGTAAACCAGTTATTATGAGAATTTTGATATGTGTCATTGTTTTGCAAGTGTGCCTGATTTCAGACTTTCAGCTTTCCTCTGAAGGTTTATTATTTGAAGACAAGTGCAAGTGGGAGAGGTTATGAAAATCAGTTTCTTTTAAGTTATTAATCTCGAATGAGTGATTTTAAATTTTTTTTTTAATACTTGTTATATTTTAATATGCCTTAGAACAAAATAGGGTGTCATTACCATTCTTGTTCCTGAATGTTTGGCTTGGCATTTGATGCAAGGCCTCAATTGCAGGCTGACGTGCCAGCAGCTGAAGCTGAAAACAAGACTGCGGTGGGCAAACTCAAGATTTAATTTCAGAAAGAGTGTTTATATTTTCCCTTGGGCCACATTAATGAGAGTCCAAACCCTAAATGTTACCACCAACACATTTTAACAGACCAGTTTCCCAGTTTTTAAAGTGTGTTGTCACCTTGAGTATTTTTCTTTCAACTTTTTCCCCTTCTTCTGACTTTAAAAAAAAGCAATGAAGCTGTACCATTTTTGGCTGAATTCAGTGTCATGTTTGGTGAACATAAAGTTCTGTGACATGCAACAAAGTTGAATTTAAAAACATTTAATCCTGTCTTCTATTTCTGTATCAGCTATTTGAAGAATTCAGGGTTAGGTTACCAATGCAACCCCTCATGTTACTGCAAAGCACACCTGCATCCAGCATGTGATGTAGGGGTCCCTGTGTTGCTGTCCTGAATCCTCCTGATGTCAGAACATCTGTGCCATGCCCAGGATGAACTTGTGACCAACAGGTCAGTGCCAAGAGAGACAGTAGTGGTGGGGTCACTGAGAGTTCCTCAGCTCAGTTTCCTGCACCTTCAGCTGGGCCTGTTTTGTGGCTTTAATAGGATTAAAGAAACATTTACATTGAGGCTTTAGGAGCATTTTCACACTACTCCTTTACCCAATTCAAAGAGCAGTATAAATCCAAAGGATTAAGCAAGGGATTTATGGGAAGTTGTAGTGTAAGATGAGTTGGTGCACCTGGCTCTCCTTTTCTCCTCTGTGGATAAGGAATACTGAAGCAGTACTGCATGGGATGTGGAAGTGAGCCTGGCATTTTTTT